GGGAGGCTAAAGTGTCCCGGGTTGCAGCCTTAAGCAGTAGCTTTTAATTCATAGAAGTTTATGGGAGCAAGGGTAAAGGCCAAGAGCCTAGAAATAGGAACAGAATATCATAGAATGCTCTGGAACCATGCTTTTAAACTACTCTCAATGGAGAAATAGTTTCAACATTTTTAAATTACTAACGTCATAGCTAAAGAGCTTTACAAAATATAACAATTACTAAAAAAATGAAATATGCATGAAAGAAAAGTCCAAATTCCACTGACACAGGGTAAAAGAATTGCAAAAAAAAAAACCCATACATGTTCATTGACTGTTCAAAAGTGGTAATGTTGTTACTCTCTTACTTTTCTGTCATTTCAAACTGTACATTAACAAAAAGTTGTGAGTGAAATGGCTATTTTCTATGTTAAATCTCTTTACATTTTGATGAATACTGTGCATAATAATACTTAAAGTATTTAATGTGAAAAATGAGCTTCCTTCTTGCTTGTTAGTTTATCTAAACTGAATGATATTGATGACTTGCATGGGATAATACATATCTACATGGTGTTTATACTTTGTTTTACTAAAATAAGTAGAAAAACTAGTCTCAGAAAGGTTTGTGGAATTAAATGTAAGATGAAATTTAAAGTGGTTTCAGTCAACTTCAGATTGTTCATTTTTAACTTTTATCCAAAACAAAGTATTATGCTGTTTTTCAAAATTCATATTCAATTAATTATTCATCAGTAGCAATTACAATTTATTTGGTAAAAATTATGATTAAATTTAAATTATTTTATGATTAAAAGAAAAATCCCAGATTCCTAGATTGCCTAAATTTGAATTTTATTCTGTATTATCATGTTTATATTATAATAGTGAGCAGATAACCTCAAGTCCTCCCATCAGCCAGAAACACAATTCTGGTAAAATACAGAAATATAGAACACAGGTGAGAACCAATCATTTCTATAAAACAGTAAGCTTTATATTTCTGTGTTTATGTCTGGCTAATGGCTGAAATTTTAGACTTGTAACCATAAACTCTGTATTTGTGTCTGTTTATATATGTATGCATGTATGTATATATATATATATATATATATATATATATATATATATATATATATATATATATGTTTGTTCTATGAAGTGAATTGTACCATAAGGAAGTAATTAAAGTAAAATGAAGTCATACGGGTGGAGCCCTAATCTAATAGGGATGATGTCCTTATATGAAGGAAAAGAGACACTAGATTTTGTTTTCTCTGTCTCCCTCTACCTCCCTGCCCCCACCAAGGCCATGCACGTGTAGAAGAAAGACCATGTGAGAGGCAGCCATCTGAAAACCACCAAGAGAGCTCTTATCAGAACATGGCCATGCTGGCTCCTTGATGTTAGACTTGCAGCATCCAGACTGTGAGAAAATAAATTTCTGTTGTTTAAGCCACACAGTCTGTGGCATTTTGTTATGCCAACCAGAATAGACTACTACTCATATTTTGATACTCTGAAGTAGGGTACTGTTGTAAAAATGTGGAAATGTGGAAATTTCAGAACTAAGTGATAAGTAGCTACCAGCAGAGTTTTGTGGTGCATGCTAGAAATAGATAGGTCATCCTGAAGGTACTGTTAATAGAAATATGAATGTTAAATGCGATTTTGGTATGATCTCAGATGAAAATGAGAAACAGTTCATTAGAAAGTGCAGAAAAGCAATCATTGTTAGAAAGTGGCAAAGAGCACGGCCATATTTTGTTCTAGTGTTTTCTGGAGGGTAGAAATTTGAAAGTGATGGATTTGGATATTTAGCTGAAGAAATTTCTAAGTAAAATATTGGAGAGGATTGGTTACCCCTTACCACTTACAGTGAAATGAAAGAGGAGATATAAATTGAAGGAATTGTTAAACAAAAAGGAACCCAAATTAAAGATTTGAAAAATTCTCAAACTATCCATACTGCAAAAATTGAGGAAGCAGGTTCTGAAGGGAACACTAAGGATATAGCTGAGCAACCATTTGATAAAGAAATCATGGGTGCAATTTATGGATTTATTCAACCATCTCAGCAGAAACCGGGATTAGAAATGGGATTATACCAGCAAAAACTAAATGGGAACAGAGAGAATAAGAGAATGAAGGAAAGCTGTCGGATTGCTGGAATTCTACAGGACAGGACCAAGAATCTATCAAGTTGTGATATGGATGCATTATCTTTCAAGAAAAGAAAAGAAAAGAGCCTCCTAGGTTTCAGTAGGCCAGGCTGCCCCAGTAAAGAGCCACAGAAGCAAAAAGCCATGCAGGCAGGATTGCTAGAAAGAACTACAAAGAGTATTGTGTTCTGTCAGCCTGAGCAGACTCATACAGTATCTATGTATGTTGCAAGTAAAGTATGTATGTACAATATTTCCTACTTCTGGAAGGTATTGCCAAGTTAAATTATTAAATTCAAGGCGTTCTCTTCTGATTGGCTTAGAGATAAGTATACATTTATATTAGTTGGCCATTCCTAAAATTGTCAGGAATTAAGTCTAAAACCATCATTTTTTTTTTTCCTATTTGAATATGTTCTTCCTAAACCTACACATTTTACTGATTGAGTAAGCTTGCATTCCATCTATTAGATGATTAAGATTATAAAGAAAGGCCCTGACTGGCGTAGCTCAGTTGGTGAGGCATCGTGACACAAAGCAAAATGTCACCCGACTGATTCCCGGTCAGGGCACATGCCTGGGTTTGGGTTTGGGTTTTGGTCCCCAGTAGGGGCATGCAGGAGAGGCAACCAATCAATGTTTCTATCTCACATTTGTTGTATTGATGTTTCTTTCCCTCTCTTTCTCCCTGCCTTCCCCCTTCTCTCTCTAAAAAAAAAAATTATAAAAATGTAAATTTATGATTAATCAGTTGAATCATTTTGACAAACTTTTATTTCAACAGTAATTATTTTTTTATGGTATGTCATTTTGAAGATGTACTCTCCAAGATATTTTGGTAACAAAAATCTTAGATTTCTGTTAGATTAATTGATGACTATTCTTGAGATACCTAAATCACTTCTAAGTAAGATAAAATATTGACATATAAACTAGTAGGCCTTATTTTTCCAGTTCTGTGTATTTAGACTTGTTTAGAAATGTTTTCACTTTTGGCCAAACTAACAAAATTGTATTATAAAGATAGAAATGGTTATAAAAATTTGGAAAATGTATATTCTTAAGCTCTATTACACAATTCAAATTTATAACAGATGGTTCACAATTAATCACTTTATAGTTTTCTCTGTAAAATAAATGTTAATATAGTAAAGTATATAATTAATATGTTAATGAGATGCTACTAGAAGAAATAGTGGCAGAGAAAAACAATTTTCTATACAAGGCAAAGAAAAACAAAAATTTTTAAGGGAAACGAGAGTAGTTTTGTCCCAATCTGAAATATTTAGTTGTTCCATTTGAGAAAAAAGAAAATGTAGGAGGAAACCTGAATGAGTATAGAAGGATATAAAGTTCCACAGAGAAGCAATTTTATTTGGTGTGCTCAGAGCTATCAAATCTTTTATGGGTTTATTTACAATAATTTTATGAAAAGTGTTTTGTATAAATTTGTACACTGATGCAAAATTAGAATCTGTTTTTCTCTCTGTTACAATAACAAATTTTCTTGAATTATTGGTCTGCTCTTAATAAGAGGTCATACAAGGTGTATTGTTACCTTCTGAACAATCTTCCTTGAAGGCAAAAATTTTGTCATCTCAGAATTGTTTTTGTGCTTTATTTTGACATGACCTTAATTACTTAAGAAAATAAGCTTTTCCCACTTTGTGCCATGATTCTTTACAATCATCTTTAGTACATTTTAAAACCTTTTATTGTCACTGATATTTGATTGACTTCATTGTGCGTGTTTCAAAACAAGCAAATTTTCTCACCAGTTTCACTATTTTTAGTGAACTTTCATCAGCTCTTTTGCCTTTGAAAATTATCAATAGTAAGTTAATCATGACTATTTTAAAGTCTTGCGTGCTCTCTACATAGTTCTTTTTTGTTTTATGCTTCCCTGAAAATACTTGCAAATGAGCTACAGACCTGAATGAAAAAAGACCCCTCAGAGACCCTCAGAAAATGACTTTCCCAAGTACCTTGGGGCATAGATTTCAGATGGCATTGCTTAAATAACAGATCATACCATTGGACCAAGTCAAGGTTTTTCAGAATTCTAGTGTAGAAGCAGATGGGTTCATAACACTGTTAACCTCAAACAACCAAAACAAGAATTAATTACGTAAGAATGAATGAAATGAAGAATGATTATGGTTTTTGCTTGGAGTATTGTTGATACCTTAGTATCCTATTTTTTGCATGTAAAGAATTTCTTTCTTTTTCTCTTATGTTCTCTGTAAATCCTAATGATCTAGTTGACTATGTTCTTGTAAACAGAAATGAACCATTTATCCTTGTCTCTCTAGTGGATCACTCCAGATTTTGGAAACACTTACTGATTAAATATTCTGATTTCATGTTGATATAATTTTTGCTTAAGTTCAGTAAGAATCTGCCTTCCTTTATTATCAAAACATAATTGGAAACACTGGTTTTGACTGAACTGTCATATTTGAAAATGATGCATTCAGTCAGATATGACCAGATACTTTTAAGAAGCTCAAAAAGTCCTGTTGAAAAACCTAGTGAGATACCTAGCTTACAGATCTCCTAGACTTACAGTTGAATAAGGAAGGGAATTCCCTTGAAGGCACAGGAAACAGGATATTTAGAAGAGAAAAATTCATCCAAATCTATAGGTACTGCAAGTGAAATGTGATAGTGAGCTCTTGACTTGGTTTCCAAGCTTCAAGGTATTCTTTGACATTATCTTTGATCAAAGGAGAAATAACTAAGGGGAGAAATTTTGTATTTCAATTGAAAATATGGCTGAGTCATGCAGGTTACCATATTCTGGTCATTTTTTTAAATGTACTCCAACATGTTTTTATTGGGACTTTGATTCAGGTGCCTTTAGTCCTGCTTTGTTCTGAAGGAGCATCCTTCTTTAAGCTTTGCTTTTTCTCCTGTAAGCTGACAGACAGTGGAGCAGCCAACACACAAAACTACCTTTTGCTCATGGATAAAGATGGCAGTGATTTTATAGTATCTTGGGCATTTCACACTCATGAAGTAGGAATTGGGGCTCTGCACCACACTCTTTGTCTTGTGTTCCCTCTTCTCCTCCATTGGAGAGGGATGAAGGAGAACCTTAGCAAGAGACATGTTGTCATGGGCAGGTCATCACCACTGGAAAGGCTATTCTGACCTCATTAATTGTTTTTGAGCTATCTTGTGTTACTTTGAAAATTATAAGTAATTGATGGACATAAAAAAATCAATTTTTTTATCTACATGTAAATTGGACTAGATCTTTTCATATGGCATGTACTGTCAACCCTTATAACGTTTCAATTTTATTTTATTTTATTTTTAGTTTCCTTCAATACATGGTTCTACCTCAACTAACATTTCCAATTTTTTCTTTCTTTCCTAACTTGGTATTACCAAGAGCTAAAACCTAACTGACTAAATTTTTATCTGAACTTTAGGTTGCCCTGTAGTAAGCCATTTCCCTCAACATCTAAAGAAGCACTGTAAGCTAAATTCTGGAGACTTGAAGAAACTATTCATGAGTCAGATTTATCCCTGGACAATCTGTTGTCAGGATAATCAGGAAGTCTGATGAAATGTTCAGGTCATGCAGAGATAACTGGACAACATCACCAGAAACATCAATATTTTATTATCACCAAGAAATTTAACTGTTTGTGCTACAAAACGGAAAGATTTTTACCTATCAACCTCTTGGACTTCACTGTTTGGTTTCCCATCCAGGGTTCAACTTCTGGTTCTTCACTTTAATACAACCTTTCACATTAATCACCCTCTTTTTTATTTCTAACATTCCTCTTGTAAGATGCCTGAACCTAAGACTACTGACTTTAGCCACAACCTCTCAAAAGATGGTTTAATTAACTATACAGAACAATGCCAACAAGAGTCCTAAGGAGCTTATTTCTCAGAACCTGCTTTGCCTGCTCTGGTTTATGATCATTTCTGAGTTGTTCAGGGGTGAATAATTTAATTCACCCCTCAGTTTGTCTTGAGCAAATGGGAGAACCAACGATGTTAAACATGACCTAAGTCCCGTGCTCCTGGAAACTGTGACAGTTAAAATTTTTCAGCTGATCATTTTGTGTTCTGTAAAACAACTCACTACAAAGAACCACCCTCTCTCACATGATTTAAGTAAGAGTCCAAGATGCCCCCCACCTGTTTAGCTATGACAAGGCTAGACACAGATCAAATTCCCCGTCTTTGCCTAATCCATAATTAGCTGAACTATATGTATTCACTGACCAAGCTGGAAAACATACCTGTTAAGTTACTTGAGTAAATTTTAGTTCAGTTTTTTTTCCTCCCTTCAGAACACACGGCATTGAACTTGACCTATGCCTACCCTAATCCAGCACTGGAATATAGGCTAATCCTTTAACGGCCCCTCTGAGGAATCAAGAATCAGTGGATCTCAAGGTAAAACATTTTTGACAAGAGTCTGATGACACCACCACTCATTACCCACTCCTCATTCAGTTCTTTTTAGACTTGTTAAACATTCTTGTTTAATTTTTTTTTCTGCCTGACATTGGAGACTTGTACATCATGTGGTAAGAAGGTTCTTTCTTTTGCAAGAGTCTCCCTCTTTCTATTGCAACAGTGTCCTTCCTTCTATTTCAATTGTTTGTTTAATAAAGCTTCTTTTCATGTAAGCTTAGATTTTTTTTTCACTCTACCATTCTGCAACATTTAGAAAAGTTTTCTCTCTTCCTAATAAAATAGATCAGTGAAGAATGTTTTCTCATCTGGAATTCAGGAGTAAAGGTAAGTGATATACATGCCCTTTCCTGATTTCATACAATATTATTAAGCCATAAATTTAAAATCAGGCTTAATTAAACCACAAAATGATGTAGAAATAAAAATACATTAAAAACAAAGCATATTTTTTCTAATTTATATAATTTTTGAATTATACTTCTTTTTTAAAGATTTTATTAATTTATTTTTAGAGAGAGGGGAAGGGAGGGAGAACGAGAAGGAGAGAAACATTAGTGTATGGTTGCCTCTTGAGTCCCCCTTACTGAGGACCTGGTCTGCAACCCAGACATGTGCCCTGACTGGGAATCGATTCAGTGACCATTTGGTTCACAGGCCAGCACTCAATCCACTGTGCCACACCAGCCAGGGCATGAGTTATACTTTACAAACTAACTTTAAAATACCACATGTTGAAAAATAAAATATCACATGTTGAATCATGACCTCCTACACATAAACATCTCACTCTACATCAACTTACTCTACAAGATTTACCCAAACTGGTCCACACGTGCTCAATGAAGTAAATCCACTAATCACATGCTTGTACACAGTAGGTTGTCAAATTACTCTAAAATATTCCAAACCCTGTTTTTCAATTTTTGTAGTTAGCTTTCCATGGACCAATAACAAACACTTTGCAGGCCATCCCTGCAGGCCAATAGCACTCACTATGAACTCATAGGCCTTAGGGTTTGCTTTTAAGGCAGCACCTGATAATTTTGTCATTATTGCAATAGTGGCTGGATTTTGAACTAAGGTTTCTTATTGTTCAACTGAGAAAGCTCTCCTATTCTCTTTTATGAATTATGGAGTCTTCAATAAGACAAGCCATTAGTAGATAAGATATCCACATGAAGGTTGGACATTAAAATCTTCCTAGTTTCAATGATGACTAAATGAAATTACTAGTCATAGACTTTAACTATCCAGTTTTAAAATATTTGTTTTCTAAGTTATTTTATAGAGAAAAATAAATATGTACCTTGTGTCTTTGAAGATCAGTGGATGAATTCCTACCTCACTCTAAGTTAGATTTGTTACTAAAGTCTTTCTTTGCAGTGTTTCTTATTGTGTTTTAATGTGATATTTAAGTTCACTGGATAATATCTCATTGATGTTTTTCTTCAACATCCCAAAAATATAATCAACTGATAAGAAATTAATCAAAATATCAAAGATAAAAAGTTTACTGCATAATCAACTTAGAAAATCCTAATATCTTATCTTCAATATTAAATTTTTATTATTTCATTTCTTAAGGGTAGGTTCAAGCATTTTAACATGCTCAATATATGTGGCTGTTATACTAACAAATTTACTTGAAATAAGTGATGTTATTTAGTGTGTGTACACAGCATTTAACATATACAAGAATTTCAAAGTGATGTTAGCATATTGTCCAGAACAGAGAGGGTATATTAACATGGAAAAGCAGATTGTTGAACTCCCTGCCCACATTTTCACCACACAACAGATTTGGCGGCCACAATGGGACTGAATTAATATTTTTACTATTTCTTGGCAAAATCAAAGTTAAAAAGCATTTCAATGTTCACAAAATATTCGCTGCGAGTCAAGCTGTGTGTAGATTAAAGTACTCAAACCATTTCACAGAGTAACCCCTCTTCTTCTCAATTCTCCTTGCACAGCCACAGTCATAAAAACCAAGGCTGCAAACTAAAGAGTAAGTAATGAAAAAATCTCCTATCCGGTATCATGAGTCCCTCATTGATAAACAGGATGGATGGTTAGAGTCATGAACTACAACTGTCTCATATCTACATTGTGCATTAGCCAAGAATTTATTCATAGTCTGCATATTTAGTTTCATTCAACTGTTTAGCAAAACATCTGCAGCAGCTACAACATAGTAATAATTCTTCTTTCATTAATACATAATTAATATTATGCATCACCTTAAAATATCATTCCATAAAAGATTTTTGGCAATAACTTCTTCTGCTTTCTCTTAGATAGCAATATTTGTCATTAATATTACAGTTGACTATACAGTTTTCTAAGCTGTTTTTGCTATAAAGAGTAAAACTTTAAATGCCTCTCCTACATTTTATCTCTTCTGTACCTACAGTAACAATATTAATCAATTTTAATGCATGGGAATCATTTTATGCATGTTGAAAAATCTCCCTTAGTTTACTCAATCAAGAATAAAAGAATCAATGGCTTTAAAATAGCATCCTGTGTACACAGAAACCCCAGGTGGAATGACAATTTCCAATTTATTGTTTCAATTTATTGCCCTCTTTTCTTTTTATCTCGTCTGACCTCTTCTTCCTTTTTCTCATCTCCCCTCTTCCCTTCCTCTTTCTCTTCTCTTCCCTTTCTCTGCCATCTTAGTCCTTTTGTTGATAGTGACAAAGTGGGCAATTTCCCTTACTTATGTGGTCCAAGAGAAAGGAATATTTGTCAGGGTACAAGAGAGAAGCTTCACAAGGAAGCAGAGAGAACACATCCATTAATCCCTCAAGAACTAATCCTGTCAGATATGTATGCCCCCGTTTGACAAGACTTTATAACAGAAAAGGAACTTGGGAACAATGGTAAATTAATCTCCAGTCATATATAATTCAATTTTTTTAGATATTTATAAATGTGCTTCTGATATGCGCTTTTCTTTTCCTGCTGCATATGTGAAATCATGACACTTGCAGATTGATGTGTCCCAGCATATACAAATTTGCATTCCTTATTCACTGCCGGAGACCAGTTCACTCTTTGTTTATGATGTTATTTTTGGTTGTACTATTTATGTTACTCTTTTCATCAATTTTTATGCTTCATTGAACCACATTTTAGTCATGGGTCTATTTTTGAGAATTGGGGATATAATGCCACACAAGCATAGAAACAGAATTACAAATTTAATAATGTTAACAACAGCATGAAAATGGCATGAAAATATATTAGGTGAGACAAACTGTATCTTATTAGCAAAATATTTACAGACAAACAAACCAATGTGGTCCTTTGAAAGACATGTATGACTTTAGAGGTCCTAATTATCATAACTGTATAAGTAATGGAATTTCTATGCACATCAAAATTAAGCTGACATTTCAGATTCGTTTAAGGCTTTAAACTAAATAGTTTTATGAATTTAGAATTTTTTCTTCAAACTGGCAAACTACCTCCAACATGGCCATGAACCATTGTATAAAATCACTCTGGCTGTCAAAGCATCATGTCTCTTTTCCCATTTCTTGTCTTCAAATTCATTATAAATTGCCTTTTTTTGCCTTTTTCTTCTGAAATATTATATGTATACATGCATGCACACACATATAATAATTAGAAAGTATATTAGACTGACCCCTGTGTTTTGGCCT